ACCGGGACTCCATCGCCACCGTCAGAGCTTTCCTGGGTGAGTGAGGCCCCGCTGCGCTGCTGTTGGGCTGTGGATAGTGTTGTTGTAGGCCCCGCACAAACGCAAGCAGAGTGCTGCTCCCTGGCAGTCGGCAAACCTCGGGTGAGCCTGCGCCTGGCAGCAGAACCAGCTCCCCAGGGGTCTGTGCCAGCCCTGGGGGAAGGGACTGAGCTGGGAGTGCCCATGTTTATCCTCAGGCCATACGTGAGGGGAGAGAAGAAATCCTTTGTGTGGACATGCCGCCCCTTGTTGCCTCCTCAGCTGCTAACGTGAGAGAGGCAGAGACCTCTTGTCCAGCAGAGGAAGCTGGGGGTTGTAGAGCTGAGAGGGGAGGGACAGGACAGGATGCTCCTTGGGCTGCTTTATCCTGGCTTGGTGCTAGGCTTGGATCCAGAGGCACAAAGGTCCAGGCGCTACATGCTCATCGGTGACTGCTGTTCTCACCCGGGGCAGAAAATTGGAAACAGGAGGAACCGCAGGAGCTCCTGGGGGCCAGGCGCTGGCGTGCATGGCTGAGCCCTTCTGGCAAGGTCGACTTCAGTTGTGCTCGTTCAGAGCCACCCTCCCTGACCCACTTTTCCTCCTTCTCTGCAGATGACTTTGAATCCAAATATTCCTTTCACCCTGTCGAAGACTTTCCAGCCCCAGAAGAGTATAAATACTTCCAGAGGATCTACCCCAGCAAAACAAACAGAGGTAAGGGAAGAGCTAGTCTGCTGTCCTGCGTGGCCTGACTCCCCTCGAGGGTGCTGCTGGTGACAGGAGCTGACAGCGATGGAGCCGTGGCCACCCACCATCCCCTCTGTCAAGCCAGCCAGGGTAGAGCGTGCAGGGAGGCTGTGCTGGTGCTGCTGCTGAGCCGCCCTGGGTCGTGGCTTCAGGGGCTCTCCTGATCCTTGGCTTTCTCCGCGCAACAGCGCGGCCCTGGGGCCTGCACGTGCTTCTCAGGGCACTGAGCCCTCGAGGCAGCATGCTTCACCCTGGGCGGCCCCAGGGATTTGGGCTGGGAGAATGTCCTGTCCTACCTGCCCTCTGCTGAGCCTGTGTGCAGAAATGCTTTAGGGCTTTTTCCTGGCCTTTGGTGCTGGAGCAGTTATAAAAGGGCTCCAGAAGCTGGCCCTGCAGCTGAAATGCTGGTATTAGGCAGGCAGTGGAAGGGTAAAGAGCTGCTGTGCAAGCATTGGAACAGGTCAAACCGAGAGGCCCTGGGCAGAAGTGCTTGGATCTGACACTTCTGGGAGCCGGTTCCTCTCCCAGCGCAGCACAAAGTGCCCTTGCTGTTCTGCTGCTGCGAGTCAGCCCTGCAGATCCAGGAGGAGAGACTCAAGGGAGAACGGGATGCTCGTTTATTTTTAGAATGATAAATGTTTAATGTGGATTTGAAAAGCCCTGAGCTTTCCATGCATGCTGCAACGGCTGGTTCTCGAGTCGCAAATCCCAGGCTTCGGGCCTCGGCGGGGAATACGAGCAGGGGGGGCAGCAGCGTGGGCTGACGCGAGGGTGTGGAGGAGGGTAAGCAAACGTGCCAGGTGCCGCTCTGTTAACCCCCGAGGCAGCGATCCTCCGAACTGGCCCTGGCAGCCAGCGAGGAGGCTGGGGAGAAGCCGACACGCGTTAGCAGTGCCAGGCTTGCTGCCCCAGCAGCTGTGCGGGCAGTCTCCGCGCGGGTTCTGATTTCAGTGGGCCTTCTTGTCTTGCAGCTACCCGTGGGGCCCCCCCTCTGCCTCCCATCCCCAGGTGAAAGTGAGCTGTGCAGGGAGGTTGTTCCTGAGCAAAGATACGGACCTACTTCCCCTTCCTCAGATGGATCCTCCCCACCTCCCTGCCCTCTAGGAACCTGCATGAGAAACTCCCAGCGTCTTTGGTTTTCCCAGCTGTGCAAGGAAGAGCAGATAACTCCAGCTCAGCTGTCTCTGCCAGCCCACCTTCATCTATGCATCTCACCCTGGACTTGGTGACCTTGCTGGCAAGCCCGGATGGGCCCTTTCCTCCGCGCTCTCGTCGCAGATCCTGGATTGTGTCGGGACGGCGCTTCCAGCTGTGGTCTGGGCATCCAGGCATGAGAACTTGGGGCAGACGCCGAACCGCGCCGAGACCAGTTGATGGTGTTGGGACCAGAACCGGCTCAGTGCCCCTTTTTCCTCTGGGCTAAGGCAGGCTGAGGGTGTTGTGTGGGCTTGGAAAGGAGCTGGGGTAGGTCACATTTGCAGAGGGGTACAGGAAAAGGGGCGTCTCTGAGGGCGCTCCATCTGGGACACTCATGGGCAGAAATGCTGCGTATTAATCCATTAAGCTAACAGCGAAACGAGGAGGAGCAAGCAGAATGTTTTGTTACCCAAACACAGCAAATTGCTTTTTTGCACAGGAGCCAGTGAAGGAGCACGTGACGATCAGGACCATCCAGTCAGAGCCTGATGGTGCTGGGCTGCGCAGCCTGAGCCGCAGGGAGGCCAGAGGCTG